ACAGCATCAATCAGGGTTTTATTTTTTTTTTATCCCCCCCCCGCCATTTTGATCGCCAATCAAATGTTTACACTCCCAGCATTTAGTAATAAATCACAAAGTTTTAATGGTTGGAGGGGGTCACCAAGCCCCCCCCCTCCCAGACTCTACTGACCCACACAATATAGATGTAAGCCCCCACTTTGAGGTGTTTCTGAAGGTTCTGGGTAAGGTAAGGGGAGATTTTCTTTGGGAGGGGGGTTACGGCCACGCTATTAGCGCAAGTGAGAGGGGACTGAATCACGGCGGGGGTCACCAGCGGACAGGAAAAAGCTATGCTAATGAGCTAGCAGCAAATAGGCCCTAATGGATGGGGAGGGGGGCCACAAGGGGGGGGCTAACAACAGCCGCGTGCAGATGTGGCCTGTCAGTAATGGACAGACCCACCTGTGGACACGAGCACAGGGGCCCGCCGAGGATGGATGGGCAAGGGGGCGGAGCTTCCACACCTGCCCTCTCTCCAACACATACATCCACAAAAGCGATGACAAACGCAGCAAATCGGCCACCCTGATGTTAATCCAGGTGAGGCACGAATCCAATGGTTCCCAAATCCAGCAGGAATCAGAGAAGCCTTCCCTCCACCCTATGCACTGCACCTTCCTTTGAAGAGCAATAACACCATCAGCTAACCAGTATCTGCTTCCTAATCTCCCTCCTCTTGCTGAAGTGGATGACGTGGTTTTTCTTAAGGATTTCTCTAGTCTGTTCCTCTCCTCTCAATCCACCTTCCCACCCCCTTTTCCATCATTAGACACAATGAAGACCCTTGGAGCATTAATTAGAAATATTCTCCTGAATGCTTGAATGAGGCAGACACTTATGATGAATGCTAACTTTGGTAAACACGATCCACCGCATAATAAGTCGCTGTTTTCTTGGGGCCCTTGACTCCGCTCTCCCTCCCTCCCGCCGGCCTTTTTTGAAATGGTGATGAGATCACGCTAGAAATTACTGGTCCATGGCTACCTCTTGCTCTTCATTAGGCATTGCCCGCGCCGGGCAGGCTGACTCATTAGCTTTTATCCCCTGTCTCTCCACCGGAGGAAGAGCGGCGTGTAATTAGCGCAACCCCGCTCAGATGCCGCGTGGTGGAGGCGGCGCGGGCACGAGCTGATTGCAATCCCGCGGCAGCTCGCTGATAACAATGCGCCAAGTGTGGAATAAACCTCCCCCCAGTAAGCTGATAAATCACAAGGAGGGAGGGGGGTGCCAATTCACGCCCGTGGCAAGGGGAGGCCAGGCAAGAGACAATGGAATGAGGCTAACCAGAAACGTTTATGCAGCGCTCCCTCAGAAAACGCTGAGGGACTCAAAGAGACCCCGTAGCCAAGTGTTCTGGAAACTTCCAGAGAAATTCTGCAGCAGGGGACACTAGTTACCTCCCCACCCCCATCCCTCAGATACTCCCAAGTGCAGAAAGACTAGCGAGCTGTTCCCAAACACCCAAAATAATAAATGACTACAGTGCAGTTTTCTTATTTTACTAAACAAATGTCACTGGTACCCACAGACGTAACCCAGAGCTGCTGCAGCGGTGATATATCAACACTTTTCAAGTATAAACATCACGCTTTCATCCCATAATATTTAATATGTTGAGAGGTAAAAAAAGAAAAAAAGCAGCAGTATGTAAACAGACAAGGCCACATCCACCCGGGACTGACGAAATTGCAATTAAAAATTTAGATAAATATTACCAAAGTTATATTTAAACAATAGGAATTTTAATTTTCTCCATATGAGAAACTTTCCTCCTATAAATAGGTATCAAAAGAAATTGTATGCAAATGATTTATTATGGTGCTTGCAGAAGCAATAAAACAGTAACATAATGATGTCATTATGCTTGTCAAAAACAGTGCTACCTGAGAAACAGCGAGACTTTCCTTCTCCCTCTAAAAAGGCGGCTGTGGAACACGTACAGTAGCACTTCCCGAAATATCCCAGGTAACAATACTGCGACGTAATCTGATTCTCTACCTTACAGAAACTGTAGGTTGGGGGGGGGGGTGTCAAAAAACAAAAAGGAGGTATTTTTAGTGCGTAATAGATGGAGGAAACAGGAAGGTGGCAAACAGACGCAAAAGCCAAACAGGACGCGCAGCCCTGACCCAGCTGTATCCCGTCGCTGACATACCGCTTCCTGCACGCGCTCTCGGTAGGACGCTTCGCACCGGGGCCCCGGATCGATCAACCCCGCGTCTCTGCCCCCCCCCCCTTAAAAAAGGCATCAGCGTCATTCCCCGCCATGCCCAAACCTTAGGCTCTTCCAAGTCTAACGGTACACAAGAAACATATCCGCACACGCATACACATGTATGAACGGGTTTTATTACCTTGCAAATACTCTGTAGGGTTTGCAAATTACCGCAACACTTTACATGTGGCTAATGATGAGCTAAGATTTATAATGGAATAACATAGATTTGCCGTAAGATTTCTTGCGTGAGCGTGACAGTCTGAAAGCGTGTCACGCTAGATGCGTGAGAGTTGGCAGCCCCGCAGAGGAGCCCACACGCATGTTTTTGGTGTCCACAGTCCGACGGCCGACTTTTTAGACTCGTACACATTATAAAAAGGGATCAAAGCAACCGATCGGAATCAGAGCTGAGTCATTAGTGCGCACGGCGTCTGTCCCTTGATGGGGGGTCACGTACGGCCACCGAAATACAGCCGGCTTTGATGAGCAGTTTCTCGCCAGGCTGTCGGCATCTAAAGCCCGCAGACAGGTTCGCATCTATAACATGAGCGTTCGCAACAACGGAAGGAGGTCAAGGGAACGCGAGGAACTGGGGTCTTTTTTTAGCAAACCATTGTACCCTCGGTGCATTTTTTAAATTCTATTACAGCCTGAAAAAAGGTTTGCCTTTTAAGGGGGTTCTTTGCTTAAAAATAAGCGTGTCTTTAATTTGCGGTGGGCAAGAATCTTTTTAAGTTCTACATCCCTATAGACCGAGTTTTCCAAGTGAACATTAAACTGAATATAAAACACGCGTGTACGATGCTGCCCCCATCAGGCCGTTTGCGTAAAACGCCGAGGAAACAATGGGTCAAAGCGCACAACTAAACGCAAGTAAACATTTTAGCTGTCAGCAGCAATTACAGCTGGCATCTACCTTCGTTTTAATGTATCCATCTTTAAAACCTTTTTGTTAATAACACAACCCTACACGGAAATGGTTTCAGACTGTAAAAATGAACTCAAGATTCTTGTTGTGTTTAAACGCTTGAGGGACTTGAATAAACACCCTTCGATGAAAAGTTTTTTTTTTTTTTTTTTTTTAATAAATTCATAGCAATTAAAAGGGGTGTACGCCTTATATATATTATAAACTGCTACAGCTTACATGGCATGGCTGCATTTACCGTGGGGTAGACATTTACCCCAGGCAGCATATTCACAGCAAACACCACTATTGATTTACATATAGATAATGCACCTACACACATAAAAAATCCCCTGTCCCAGGAACCAGAAATGACCCCTTTTATGTATTGAATTAAACTGCTGCGTGTCACCTCGGGCAATTTGGGGCTTCAATCTGCCAAGCCCGCATAACAAACATACGAGTATGAGAGTATTCTGGTGGTAGCAACAACCTATCCAACTCGTATTTAAAAAAAATAACATGTTTTCCCATTAAAGATAACGAATACAATTCAGGCAAAGCCGTCTTTTGAATTTTTCAGCTTTGAGTAAATGTTACAAAAACGTGAGCGTCGTGTATCATCTAAAATCAATACTTTTACGAACTACAAAAATAAGTATGTGAATGGGGAATTTACACATTGCAAAACATTACTAATAATTAAACATTTTCCAGACTTGAATCTCTGGCTTTACAATACAACTGGTAAAAATTTAATTTGAAATGTAGGATGAACGTGAGGAAAAAGGCATTTCCATTCCTAGCATACGCAATCCTCGTAAATGTAGTTAAACTCATAAGGACGCTTAAAACGATTAATTTGTACAATTAACCTTTGGTGATTTACGTAAACAGTTTAAAAGCAAGTTCAGCTTTAAAGGCAGATTCAGCACACGCCCCTGTAATATAAAATTGCAACAGAAGAGTAACATTTAGAGAAAAACAAACAGCGTTCAACCCCGTTTTATTTAAATGACAAAAGACGGCTGTATAAGGGATATTTTGAACATACTTTTAGTTTCACATATGCTGCGTGTCCACCGCTAAGTATGCAGCCTATATGAAGTGCGCATTTGAACAGTGTATGTAAACTTTGCAGCTCCGCCAGCTTCTCCCGACCGGAGTAAAAGTCCGTCCTTATTCTTTATATAGCGCCTGATAAGATTACGGCAGCCTGGAGCAGAGCTTTCCAGGCAAAGCCTGTCAACTTTTACTCGACCGGCGGTGCCTCAGGATACTGTGGTTATTTCACAGGGATGTCGAGACGATCGGACCCGTACGGTTCATATCTGCAGTCACAAAGCATAAAAAAAGAATCACTGCCAAGTTGCCTTAACTTTGCGCAGAAATCTGGGAGGAAAGGAAAAACGCCGCTAATCGACTGCTTCCTTTCCGCTCCAGTAAAAAGCCGGGCTGCGCTGACTTCTACCCGAAAAACTATCTGGATAACGGGAGTTTTCCGGCGAAATCGCGGCGGGGCGGCGGTCGCGCCGAAACACTGTTGCGTTTGCGCTAATAGATCAGGGGGATAAGTGGAAAAGTTGCAGCTGTGCTGGCATGTGTCGGCTGTGAACAGAAGTAAAATAAACGCATTCGACACAAATTAAATAAAATTAACCACACTAAACAGTTTGACCAACTTCTTGTATTTGCTCACAAGAATACGGGTCTCGATAACATTCACATGCCCGTAGAACCAGGCTACCCTCGGTGTCATTTTACAATCCGTGCAGCAGAAAGCCGTTATGTGACATCCCGTATTCCCCTCCAGAGGAGACCCCGGCATTTCTGTGTGGGGAAAAGTCTTACCTTTAAAAGCCTGTCCTCTAACGGAGACCAGCAAACTGAAGGCAGCCAAGAAACAAGTTAAAAGTCTATCCATCTCCGGAGTGTCGCAGACCTGGCCCCCAGCTCCCGGGGCGAAACGCAAGACTCTCCCCGCACGATAACTTAAAAAGGGGGGCGATTATTTCCCGTTTCTCGTGGACGCGTCGACAAGTTGCGCCGCACTCTCGCCGCCCTCCGCAGCCGGTTGTGAGCTCCGATTTACGGGCTTCCAGCGGGTGCCTGACGTCACCGAGCCGACGGCTCGCAGACGCCCATTCACCAAGCTCCGCTCCTGCCTTTGATTTTATGTCGTTTATTCCGTTAAGACAGGCTGGGCTTTCGCGCATCGGCGCAGCTTCGCGACTAGATGGCCACGCTTTCTCGGCCGGTTTGCTAATAGGACCAGAAGTATAAAAAATAAAGAACGGGACTTATGAGTACATTTGTGTGTGAAGCCCAGGGATTCAGATGTATATCAACACACGGCCACCTAAGAAACATTTAAACTGTTATAAAAATGCGTGTCTGCAAACTGTTTCTTATGGGTTAATTGGCGCCACTTAGAAATCAGGTTATGATGTCAAGGGTTAAATTGCAAAGGGAGAAACACGCTGACTCTGTAAATGAACACCATCGGGAAAGAACCGCGCAAAAAGTAAAACTAATATGAGACAGAAGTGTTTGTATCAAATGAATTATTTTACACATATATAATTTACCAGCTTTCGGCTGAATTTATGCGGGAGGAGTCAGCAGTCTGTTTAAGAAGTACAGTATATGGGGTTATAATGCAATGCAACACTATATGTTTATGTTGTTTATGTTAAAAAATATGTGTGGGGGGGGAGGACTGGGGGGCAAGTTGACATTGAGTTTAACATGGCAGTTGGTGACTATTAACAGTAAGAATCACTAAGTTTCCTGGGGGTGTTAATATGCCCAGAGTACCTGATGCAATGGATCTCTCTGTGAGGCGTGCATTTCAGCACGTTCCCCCCCAGGGTTCACGGACACGGCCATCCCCTCTATGGCACATCTCCTGCGGATATGTTTTCCTTTCTCCCTGCCTGGCAGAGTGCACCCCCCCCAGCCAGGCACAGGCGCTCGGATGCCAGCCGGCAAACGTTTGCATGCCGTTCCAGAGGCCGCCACTTTCACCCAGTACTTTGCTATTTTTAGCAGTAATACACACCTGTCGAAACAACAAGCAGGTTTGGCGGACCTCAACCTCGCACACCAAATCGGGGATCGTTTCGGGGTAGGGGGGGGCTGCCGGTTATGCCCTCTCACCTGAGGGCAGCCCCGTTTTCCTTCCTGATTCCAATGTAGGGGGAGAGGTGGGTTAGAATGCAGGACTGTATCCCCAAACACTATTCCCAGCGGGAATTCCGGCCCGTATGCGAGGGAAATGTCGGCTGTGAATGATAATCGCAAAGATAATACTCTGTATTTATTTAATTGATTGAATTATCTGCCTAATTGGCTTTGCAGGCTGGGTGGCACGGGGGGCTCAGTAGGTAGCGTGGCTGCCTCATTCCTCCCGGATGGGGGGTCTTAAACCCCCCACTGTTTGTGTGGAGCTTGCATATTTTGCCCCTGTTTTGCGGGTTTTCTCTGACTACTCTGGTTTCCTCCTGAAGTCCAAAAACATGTGGTTAGGGGAACCAGCATCTCCAAACTGTTTGAAACTGTCCTGTGCTGGACTGCTGTCCTCCATGGCTGGGAGATTCACTCAGAAGTTCTCTTTGCAACCTTTTGTGTCCAGCTAAAGGTCTGCTTTTTGGTACCGCAGTGGAATATAAACATCGTGGATCGTGAATGCTGTAAAGAGTTAGAATAAGCAGAATTAAATAAATTCTCGCCTTCCATTATTTGGTTGTATGGCATTTCAATTTGTCGGTCAAGATTACAAGTGTGGCTGACGGATGAAATCATTTTTAAAATGGTTTTTACCCCACAAACCGTTTGCACTGTAGTGGCTTTGGGAGTTTCGGGCCTGTGGTTGTGGCTTTCCTCTGTGATACATTATTATATATCGCGGTGGCCAACAACCCAAGTTAATAAAACATTTACATGTATGACCACATTGCAAACATTATGTAATGTGTTCGATAGCATGTGCCCATTGCCACAGTGCGGAGATGTTAAAATATCGTTTCAGCATTAATATTCAAGCAAATGGCTGTAATATTGTGTGGTGTGTTTTGAGGGCTGTAAAACTCAATGGTGTGATTATTTCATGTTGCTCTGACATCAGACATTAAAGCACATTATCTTCATTGACAATGTATTTGCAACAACAACAGTAACCTCTCCATATAATGCAATATAACACTGAATTTATGTGTATGTTGAAGTTAAAAATATATGTAATAAATTATTACAAGTTAAAATGATAAAGAGAATCCGATTAAGCAATGGACATTATTTCATGTCATCTGCGCACTGCTGAGGGTCATAGTGTGTCCTTTGTTTAAAATGTTAATTTAACATTTATTGACCTTTTCGGAAAGAATTATATGCCTTAGATTTAGGTCCTGATGATCCGACCTACAAAAGAATGACAACAAAATGTTTCTTGAACGTATCAACCAATCCGCCTCATCAGCTTGAAGGTATTTCAGGCTCTTACCTCTTTACAGAATGTCTTTGATTGAGTATTTTTGAGCTGTCTCACATGAATCGCTTATTCCGAGTCCTGTCACAGTGTTTCACTGAAAGCAGGGCTCTGCATTTTACTCGAGCTGTTTGCCATTGTTGTCTGCCACTGTTGTATGATCCCCTTTCTGTTAAGTTTCAGTTCACGGATGGATACCCTGACATTTTTATGTCGAATTTACTGGCTCAGTTTAAAAGTAATTGTTTTGTGTTTGAGTATAAGTCATTCTGCTACTGAAGCATCAGAGTAGCACCAAATCCTGATACTCTCACTGTCGTGTCTTTTGTTGGAATTAAATGCTGCATTTTTGCCAGACATAAATGTGTCTCCATTATTACCAAAGTTGTTACCCTTTTTCATGTCCACAGAACAACCAATTTGTCTGCTTGATTCCAACATCTGTCTGCTTGATTCCAACAGCAAATTCCAGGTGGCAAATCTGTGATGTTCTTTTCGAAAAATATTATTTTTCCTTGGTTTCTTACCACGCTTTACAGTTCTTGTTTACCATGTTTATTGTGAACTCACGAACACCATCATTTCCCCACGGGGATTAATAAAGTGATGATTATTATATTTTAGCCAATGCTAAGCAGGGCCGGTCAACCCATTAGGCAACATAGGCAGCCGCCTAGGGCGCCATCTTCTGAGAGGGCACTGACTTAGCGAGCCAATTTTACTTTATGTCAGACAGGGGGCGCCGGTGGTGAAGTTTGCCTAAGGGCACCACATCGAGCTCCACCGGTACTGATGCTAAGTGTGACAGTCCTTCAGATTGTCATGCTTTTCCCAGTGAAAATAGTGGATGTTGCATCAGTATGTTCAATAACTACCAAAAATGATTATGGAGTATGGATAGATAACAAGAGAGTTCCCATGGCAATTTTTAGGTGTTTTATTTCTGATCTCCTAAATGTTAAAAGATTGCTAAATACTCTCCATTTGCTTGCTTTCATTCTTACCCCTAAGTATCAGCCCCTGGGTGAAATCAAGCGATTAGCCAAGCCTACATCAAGCTCTGATTTTATTAAGTTACAGCTAACTTACAGTTATCTTAGTTGCATACTTGCTCTCATAAAGTACGGTTTCCAAAGCTGCTGCGTTGTATCTTCCAATCTAATTTTTAGTTCACTCCTTCAGTTGATTCACTCAACGACACTCAAACTAGCTAACCATTAATGACAGCTTGGCCGGCCGCTGGACCCACTGTAGGAGTGTATCGTGTGAAGCGAGGACACTTCGCTTGACTCGGAGATGCTGTGTTGCTGTTCTCAGTACTGTCTCAGAGGATTGCTATGAGGCCGAATCCCGTGTCTACCAGGGCCATCAAAGCACAGACGGGCTCCTCGCTGAGTATAAGTATGACAATACCCAACGGGCTCTTTAGCGTGACTAATTAATCCACCCACAAGTTTCTAACCCATAAGGATGGAAGAAAAGCGTAGCACCTACAGGAAAAAATACTTAATTAGATCATGTGAAATACCATCGCGGGATTACAGGCTGGATCCAGCAGCTTTATGGTGGCAGCCCCAAGCACTATTTATCAGGCCTCTTTGGTATCCCAGAATCCCTTGCTAGACTGTGTGCTGTGGAGCAGGTGAGCAGACTTTGTCATGTGGGGTGATTATGCTGGCCAGCTGTACGGCAGAACAGGTGCCTTCGGGGTGGAGCTCTGGGCTGCGTGTCACTGCTGAGGCATCCATATTTGCAAGGAACTGCAAACTCCAGGGAGACCCGAATTGCCCCATCTTTAAATATTTAACCCATCATCGATGTCTATCCACACAGCTGGGGTTGCCAGGTCTGTTCATCAGCTGTTGGCAGAAGTCCACGTACCTCATTTGAGACACGGGGAATTCATCTGCATTCAGAACCTGATTAAGAAGGTTTTTTCTTTGTATAATTAATATTACCCCACAAAAATATTAGATTTCGGTTGTTGTCATTAATAAAAAATCGGTTCAAATCTCCATTTTGAGGCATTATCTGTATTTATGGTTCACACATAAGCATTAATGTGTCAACGGCTACAGCAGGTGCAGTCTCTGTAATAGTTATTTTTAATTGAAACAATATTAAATATTAATACATAAAAAAGTCGGCACATGGCAAAATTGGTAGTGGGCTTGAAGCCAGTACAACTTCCATGTGTTTATGTGCAGGTTTCCTCTGTGCGGTCCGTTTTTTAGGGGTCAAAGGTGCATGGCTCAGGTGATTTTGGTATGTGTGTGTGTGTATGTGTGTGTATTATGTTTATATTACATTGTGGGGACCAAATGTTCCCCACAATGTAATAAAAACATGTTATTTTGACGTTATGGGGACCATTTTCCAGGTCCCCACAAAGATCTGTGAGTGCAATCAAAAAAGTAAAAATGCCAAAAGTCTCATATTTTGTTTTTGTTACTTATGGTTAAGGTTAGGGCTGGGTAGGGGTTAAGGTCAGGATTAGAATTTTCCCCATAGAAACGAATTGAGAGTCCCCTCAAAGATATAATTACAATCCTCTCTGTGTGTGTGTGTGTGTGTGTGTGTGAAAACCCGGCTCGATCGATAGTAACAATGGTAAGCTGATTGATAGATTGAGGCAAAGCTGGACTTGTTTGGTAAATGAGACAATTTCAGTAGGGA